GTGCTGAGCACACAGGAGATACTTAGTAGATGCACTTGCTGACTTGGGTGATGACCATGACTGTTTCTCAGCAGGACACTAAAATTCACGGAACTATAAATCATGGAAGCAAGGGGATAGCAACGGTAAGAATGGACAGTTTGGTGGTAGTTGTGGTAGGGATCCATGCAGTCCCCCAGTAACAAAGGCAAAAACTCCGTGTCCTAGAAAATGTCCTCCTTACGTACTCATAAAGAACCTCTAAACATTAGGAATGATTCTTTAACAGGTTACAGATCCTCATCGAAAGAAATCATCCAAGGGACCCAAATGCACAACTCTCTATAGAAGCTTCTATACCACCCTTCAGACTTTCTCACAGACAATGAAAACCTGTCTTTAAGTATTGGTACATTTATGACTGTGATTCTGGTTCACAAAGAAACTGGCCTATGTCAGAAGCAATTTAATGGACGTGATAAAGCTATGTATCCCATACAATGCCCTCTCTTTCGTCTCGCTGGCTTGAGATGATTGCAGAATTTGAACAAAAAAATCCAGTGAACAAAAAATGATAAAATACTGCATCCTTTTCCTAATCTCGGGAAAGAATGTGTCCTTAGATGTGGATCCACTTCCTGTCTACCATTTATTCAGATCTGTGATAAATCTTTGCAAAAATCTCTCTTTTAATCCTCATAGCAACTCTGTGAACTAGGTATTTTTGTTCTCACTTGACAGTGGAGAAAACTGACTTTCAGAAAGGACATGACATTTGCCTAAGGTTCAATAAGTGGTGAGAGGACAGAGCTAGAGTGACCATTTAGATACTTTGACTCTTAGGATCACACTTTGGGTCACTTTGTGATAATTTATCCCAATATCCACAGAAGCAAGGCTGGTAATGGGGGAGAAGGCAGGGGACAGGGCATGGTGCATGGCCTCACCATGTGGTTTTGTGACCTCTCTCTCAGTATAGCTCTTGTTCCTCTCTAAGTCTTTTCTCATACTCACTTGAACAAGCCTGCTTCAGAAGAGGCTCGGGATGTGCACAAATGCTGACGGGCGACCAGGAGGAGAGCACGCACAGGACGCTTGGAGCCTGTCCCTGTAGCTCTCTTATTTGACATAAAACAAGACCTAACGAAAGTCAAGGTCAGGAATGCTTATGGGTCAAGTGACCGCACCGCCCCCCTCAGCACACTTGACACATACATTCTGGTGATTCCTAAGTTTACACGTCCTGTGCTAACCCTTCACTGGCACTTCACAGTCAGACATCCAGTGGCTTTCCTACATGTTTCAAAGCACCTCCAACTTAACATGTTACAAACCGACCTCTTCGTTTTCCAGTCCAGCCTCTGCCTCACACTCCCCCTTCCAGACACCTCAGCACAGCCTCCTCGAGCTGAGTAGCAGCTCAGGCCCGGAACCCACACTCACTCTGGATTCTCCCTCTCCCAGCCACACGCAATCCATCACCAGGCCCTGCCGGTCCTGCCTGCAAACACATCCAGCCCCGCTGTCCCTGTTCAGCTCAGTGGCCACCACCCCAGTAGCAACCATCGTGCGTTCTCACCTGGATTTCCGCACAAGTCACTGACCCTCCCAGTTTCATCCCTGCCCTCGTCCAGTCCATTTTCCACACAGCTGCCAGCGTGATCTTTTGAAAATGAAAATGAGATCTCATCGCTCCTCTGCTTAAAATCTTTTTGTGCTTCACATGACACTTACTGAGACCCTATTCCAAATCCTTACTGTGGCTTCGAGGCCCTGCAGATCTGGCCGCATGACTGTGCTATGTTCAGGCCACGTGACTTTCCCTTGAGCTCTGTGGTCCAACCTAAGGTCTGTGAGCAGCAGTTCCTGGGTAACATTAACCTCTTTCTGTCCTGGAGTCCCTAGAGTTTAGCACATGCTTTTCTGTCTGCCTGCTAGCTGCTCTTCCCCTATGCTTTACCTAGCATCCCTCATTTGTCCTTCTTTGTCCTCATTTGTCACCACTTAAATGTCACTGTTATTCCCCACTCTAAAACAGAGCTCTGGGTATTTTATATTTTTCCTTCATTACTTTTGACACTATTTTACGGTATACACAGACTCCCCTCACCTTCGGTGGGTAGGACCCCAGAGAGGGACATGTTAACTGAACAAAGCCACAGGGGGCAGTCAGTACAGCTCCTTTGGAGAGACCTCCCTGGCACTGGACAATGGTGGCCACTCTTCCAAATCTCACCAAGTCTCACATACCTCTCACCATAGATTTTTTTTCCAACAACCAGTGGCCAATTTTGTGATATTCATGTTGGCTTTCCTTAGGTCCAGATAATTCCTCATTTCCTACTTATCTTTATCCTTTGCTTCCATTAAAGTAAATCTGAATCTATACAGAAAGCAAATTTGAAATCTTGAGAGCAAATTTCATCTCTATAGAGCTTGAATTTTACACCTGTATGTACTTTTTTTGGTTCCTTGTGGCATTTCCAAAACTCTGCGTTTCATGCCTTTTCCTTCTGCCATTAGAGTCAAGACTGGTCACCGGATGACATAATAAATGGCAGGAATAGAGGCAGAAACAGAATAAATGTAAACAATGGAGCACAATTAACTTAGACCACTAAGAAAGATTGCTGCTTGCTGGACTGCTCCAGAGCAGTGTCCCGATGCTCAGGGACTGCGCGTGTACACTGAGGTGTGCTCTACCAGCCCACTGGACGACAGGGTAGGGAAGTGTTCAGAGAATGGGTATAAAATACAGGTTAGCAATACTCGTTGGATAGTTAAAGGTCTAAGTAATTTTTTTAAGGAAAAATTAAGAAATAAGTAGTTATAATGAATCAGTGCTACAGGGGGTGACATTAAATGAGATGGGACTATATGTAGATGCAGGCTTCTTTCTTTCTTAATGCCCACCTCCCCTCTAGGTTCTAAAATCACCTAGGATAGGGACCATCTACTCTGTTCCCAGCTGTAACTCTAGTACCTGGCATGGAACTCAGCACAAAGGAATGAGGAAATATACTCACAGGGTAGCCAGAGCTACAGCGTGTGTGATGAGCCCAAGACCCTGCTAAGGAATTCCAGCCCGGAGAACTAGATAAATAAGTATAATTGAATTCATCTGACTGAGTGACATGTTCACTTAATTAAAGCAGAGAATCAACTCTAAAACACACGATTATCCCTGACAAAGAAGCAGAAACTGGTTGGGAGAAAGGGAGAGGGAAAGAAAGAGAGGAAGCAGAAAAGGTAATGCATATTTAAACTTTCAGAAAGAGGAAGAAAATTAGAGACCATTAATTTATACCTAAATACATGTCAAATCCTAGACCAAGATTATTCTAGTAAAACTCCTTGTGTAACAAAACAAATATCCACGCCTCAGGAGAGGATCGATTAATTAAAAAAAAATACAAAATAATTTTAGGCCAATGAAATTAATTCTGCTATTATCTCTTCCTCCCTTCCATGGTGTGGTCTGAATTTCAGGGACACAATGACAAAAATCAAACTTCTCAATACTTAAAGGAGTAAATATGCACATAGGTAGTTTATAGGAAACATAAATCATGACAACCAGCCAACGTGACAGAAATGAGATGAACTGAAAAGTAGAGTCATGTGCTTCTTATATATTTTCAGACTCTCGTATACTGTCCTCGTCAATGTTCAATGGTTTTTAGTGCTGAACATCCGTTTCCCTTCTCTTATATAACTTGGAAAGAGTGAGCCTCCAGATGCATAAATCAAAGTCACATCACCTCTTTCATAGCAGACACTTGAAACCTTTGAGGTCACTGCTAATAATTTTCTGTGCACTCATTTATGCCAAATCAATTTCAATTAAATCAATTAAAATAGCAACTAGTATAATTTCATGTCATTGATCTGACAAGATTAAGATTACTCAGGATATTTGGGGGCATCAGGAACTGCTGGGCTGGCATCTCTGCTTCATTATGATGTCAAGTTGGGAGATAAACAAATTTGATTTCATAGTGCCCCAAAATCTCCGGTATGCAGAATGCGACTCAGCAAAGTCACACACCTCCCATTCCTGGTGGCCCCAAAAAATGGAAAATGGGGGACAGAGAGTCATCAAGCTATTAAGAGAAATCTTTTATTTGAACAGTCTCAAGCATTAACATTTAAAAGTGCATCAGCATCAAGAATTTTTTTATAAAAGCAAAAAACTGCATCTTTGAAAGAAGAGCTACTTCACAGCAGACAGGTAGCCTAGAAGGAAAGTGCACTGGTTTTGGAGACAACTAGTTATCTTACCTACTGTGATGATAAATTTTATGTGTCAACTTGACTGAGCCACAGGGTGCTCTGATATTTGTCAAATGTTATTTTGAGTGTGCCTGTGAGGGTGTTTTTGGATGAGATTAACATTTGAATAGGCAGACGAGTAAAGCAGATTGCTCTCTCCCACGTGGGTGGGCCTCAACCAATCAGTCAAAGGCTTGAACAGAACAAAAAGGCTGATCCTCCCTCAGGTAAAAGGGAACCCCTCCTGTCCAACTGTCTTAAGTTGGGACATTGGTTTTTCTCCTGCCTTTGGACTTGAACTGAAACACTGGCTCTCCTTGGGTTTTCAGACTGCCAGTCTTTGTACTGGAACTACACGGTCAGTTCTCCTGGCTCGCCAGCTTGCTGATCTTGGGATTTCTTAGCTCCCATAATCATGTGAGCAAATTCCTTATCATCCATCCAACCATCTCTCTTAGTATCCTTCCATCCCTCTCTCCTTTCTCCTGCCTACATATATCTCCTATATAATATTATGTATCTATCTCCTATTGGTTCTGTTTCTCTGAAGAACCCTGTACACCCACTTTTTAATTGTGTGACTTTGAGCGGGCACTGCAGCTCTCTGGGTCTCAGTTCCTTCATCTGTAGAAGGGAGTTCATGATATCTATCCTGCAAAATTATTGTATGGACTAATTTTGGAAATTAGAATGTCAAATGTGTAAACGAGCACAATCAATATTAGCTCCAGACTTCCCCTTTGTGATAAATTGGAGAAGATCTGACAACCTGTGCTTCTGCACAGAAATAAAAACAGTATCTAACGCTAATGTTAAGTATGAATGATTTTGAAAATGGCAGCCAAGCTTCATGACTCCTCCATGGTTTCAAATATGAACCATAACTGTTCCTTGTGGAGCTGAAGGAACTATTTTTCTTTCTTTCTTCCCTTCTTCTGTCTTTACAGGAGGTCCTGCCACAGCAGCTTTGCCATGATGCCTGGGACATGGGAAATGGTGGAGACTTTGTGTAAAGTACCTTCTTTATTGCCCTGTGGGACTGCCTAAGAGAACGTCTTTCATTTTGCCTCAGGAAACAGGAGTGGCGGGATTTCAGTGGTGTTGCCTTCTGAGAGCTGTGGAGGGAGGGCCATGTTTTTAGATCTTGGGTGAATCACCTGCAAGATTAGGTGAGAGTATTAGGCAGGCTCCAATCCGTTTGGGCTTTAAGATGAGATAGCCTCATGCACTCGAAGGGCTGAAGCTTCCCTCTGAGTTCAGCTGGTTGTGACAGGCAAACTCATGAAGCCCAAGGGGAGTTTTCTTCCGATGCTACAAAAGAGTGGAGTGGCTGGTGTACTGTGTGTGCTGAATCTGCACAGGGCTGGGTGGTGGCCCTTAAGCTTTCATCAGCATAGAGCCATTAGGGGATGAAGCTATGAAAAACACGATGCCTGGGCTGGAGAGCCTACCATGACATTTCCAGAGTAAGGCCCAGAAATCTACATTTTGAAGAAGCATGCCCAGAGAATTCTGCTGCAGGGAGGTCACGGATCTGGGGGAGGAGAACGTGGTGCAGAGGAGGGAAGGATGGCACTTGACAATTCTCTCACTTGCTGTTTCTCAAGCTGCCACTCCAGGTGGCCTCGTCTCTTGAGTTGACTCCTCTCCATCCCCACTTGCCACCACCTTCCTTCAGACTGCCACCCTCTCCTGCACAGATTAATGCCACAGCTTCCTGACTGGACGTCTGGTCCCCTGTCTTGTCCTTCTCCAGTGTATCTGCTCATCTTTCAATATACAAATCTGATGAGGATGGTCTCTGGTTCAAAACTCTTCAGTGGCTCCCCACTGCCTCTAAATTCCGTAAGGAGACCAAACAAACGAGGCATTCACATCACCACTGGGTCCCTTTCCAGTCTCACTTCCCACTGTCTGGCCTCCTTTCTTACTCACTCTCCACCCTCCAATCATACTAGCCGTCCTCGTGTTTCTGGATGCATCACACTTCCTCTTTAACCTTGACCTCAGAACAGCCTGCTCCTCCCACCGGGACATCCTCCCCAGCCCCACTTGCCCTAGTTAATGTCTCTTCCTCTTTTAGATCTCAGCTTCCTGAGGGAGGTTTTCCTGATCCTCAGGGTCAGGAAATTTCCTCTGCTTACTCACCCTCCAAAGCATAATTAACGTCCCCTCTCACGTCACCCATTGCATTGCTGTAAGTTTTTCTTTGATGAGTGCCTTCCCCATTAAAACATGAAACCCATGTATGTGAGAATCATGTCTGTCTTGCTTACTGAATATCACTAACACCCAGTAAAGGCTGACACATAGCAGGCACTCAGTAGTAAATGCATGATATTTTAATAAATATACTTTTATGCCATGGTGAAACTCTCCAAGGTTCTTATCACCTTGGCAATTTTATATTTGCTTGATGATTTAAGAGAAACTTAACACACCCTGCTAACATAACACCTGGCTCACTTACTCTTAGAAACTTCCCTAATACATTCCTTTTAAATTGGCTGCCCTTCCTACATGGTCCTAGAATTCCACATTTACCTCTGTAACTCCTCATGTCTCTTTCACCTGACTTCAAAGCCAAGAACTGTCATATTCATCCCTGTACCCCTAACACATAGCATATAGTGCTAGGCACATGGTAGGATCTCAATGAACCTTTTTTTTTAGATGAATTACTGAATGATTGTGTAATTCCTATCTTAAAGGGTTAAACACACAAAAGGGGTACTAAGAATGCAGAGGTTATGTCAGAGAAGGACAGATTTTAATTCTTGGCTGGGGTACAAGTCTGGACCATTCATAGTACAGTATAGATATGTGGTGCCTTCTAGAATTGGTATGTAGAAACTCAAATGGAAGGAGAACCTTGAATATCTCCACTGTGTAGAACTTTACTTCAGGCCCTGAGAATTGGTGGCCCCAAAGAAAAAGGCCATGGAGAAAGTGTATCATATACAATACTAGGGACTGAAATTCTAAAGCACATAATGGCATATTTCTCTATTTCTTCTTAGAAAAGCCAAAATAGCTCAGCGCACTGTTGAAAATAGCTTTGATTTTCTTTCATCACGTCCATATGCCACTGTCTTACTACAATTGTCTTCCTAAAAGTCTGCAGGAGATTTGAATACCATAGAGCCCAGATGGCAGGGTCTAGACTTACCTTGAAGAAATGAACCCATGTCAGTTGTGAAAAGCCCACATATCATTTTTTTTCAATGCAATAACAGTCATTCAAGATTCTCCAAATCCAGAGTCAACACACAAGGTGACATAACAATGCAATTTCATGGGCATCTTGAATTGTTCAAGGCACATCTAATATATTTTAAAATTTCACTTAGAACATTTAATGAAAAGGGGGTCAATGGCAAGGAATTTTGAGGTTGGTGATTTCTGCAGAGGCTGGTAGGAAGCATTTGGAGTCTTTGGGCTTTAGGAGGAAAGGTTCATTCTACAGTTACTTGACGGTCTCACTCAGGAGAACACCGAAGAGTAACAAATATTAGGCAAAAGGCAGGTGGGGTGGCTCATGTATTGAAGAGCTCTTGCTACAGATATTGATACTTAAGAGCCACTGCCATGGTCTTTACTAGTCAAGCCAGGACAAAAAGACCACAAAGGAATAAAAGATTCTGGGCAATTTTGCTCATGGGTGATGTAAAATGGCTCTGTAGCTACTCTTATTATTATTTTTTTTTATTACAAACCCATAAAAAATTGATATTGCATTCACTGTTTTGAGATTATGCTGAAGATGAAATGGAGTTGGTAAATAAGAGAAAAGGGCAACAATTGCATTTAAAATAGCCAAAATAAACTGAAGATCCATTCTCTAGTGGACACTGTACTAGGAGGTGGGAGAGCTCAGCAAAATCAGAGGACAACTGAGGCTGTCCATGACCTGCAGGGGAGACAGAGACACCATGCACAAGCTCCTCCCCCTGCCTCCTGCCAGTCCGTGTCCATCTGCCAAAACTTCAACCTTCAAGATCGAGTTCACGAATTACACCTTTGGCAAGTTTTCCCTTAACCCTCCTTGGTTCCTGGATGAGGTCAAGTTCCAGTTCTGGGCTGACACTGTGCACCCAGGCATCTCCATAATGCTGTATGTATCCTATCCTCAGCGCCAGACTGGGTGCTTCGTTTCATCCCTAGTACCTACCACAGAGCCCGTTGCTCACTGGATGCAAGAACAAATAGTATTAGATGGTCACTGTGTAATGAGTAGATTATTAGTGTGAACTAAGTGCTTAGTGATGCAGAGGAGGGAATGCTTTGTTCTGCTTGAGAGATAGGTAAGGCTTCTCAGAAGAGGTGGTCTCTCTGGAAATAGACTCACAGACATAGAAAAACCATGGTTACCAAAGGGGAAAGGGGTAGAGGGGGAAAGGATAAATTAGGAGTCTGGGACTAACATATACACAATTTTATATATAAAACAGATAAACAGCAAGGACCTACTGTATAGCACAGGGAACTATGTTCAATATCTTGTAATAACCTATAATGGAAAAGACTCTGAAAAAGAAACACACATACACACACACACACGTATATGTATAACTGAATCACTTTGCTGTACACCTGAAACTAACACAACATTGTAAATCAACTATGCTTCAAAAAAAGAAGAGGCGATGATACCTCATCACGGCTCGGTCCTTTCACGAGTTTTATTACACCATACTCATAACAAGTCTCTGAAATAGATCCTATCCCCATTTTTACAACTAAAGAATCTTAATCTCTGACAAGTAACTTGCCCAAAGTTAATACATCTATGAAATGTCTTAGAATGGCTTTCTATGGAATGCTAAAGAGCTTGGATTTTATTCTGTAGGCAATTGGGAGCCATCAAATGTTTTAAGGAGGGAAATAATGTTGTCAGAAATATATTTAAATTAACTCTGGCAATAGAAGTAGGAAGTTAATTACAGGAGAATGAATGGGGCAGGGCAGAGACTAGAGATCAAATAATAACTAGTGGATTATTCTAATGGCTTGGGAAGGTGCTAAAGAAAGATGATTTAACACAGTGGCAAGAGTAGGGAAGAGGCAGGGAAAGACTGAAAGGCCATTTTAAAGCAGAATTCAGAAGATTTGGTCACTGACTGCTTGTGAGTGGGGAGAGGAAAGGACTCTAAACCTTCTTCATCAGGTGATGGAGTGAGAAA